GGATTGATTCAGTGACTGGGATAATTGGGATGGGAGTGTCAGAGACAGTGCAATTCGCACAGGACAGAGCGGAGTTTAGGGCTGTTGTACATAGGGTCCCTATGAGTCGCAGGCGACTCGATGGCACATAACAACCACAACAACATACCATCAAATGATCTGACTAGTACAGGAGATTTTTCCTTTTTCTCCAGCAGAGCATCTGGTGCATTTGAACCGCTCACCTCTGGGATTGCAGTGCAGCTTCTGGCCACTAGGCCACCAGAGCTCGCTGGTTTCTTATCCTTTTTATAAATAACGGCTGCTGTTGTTGATTTCCAACTCAAGAGTGACCCTGTAGGACAGACTCATTTTTCCCCACAGAGCCACTGTTTTGACTATCCCTGCATGATAATCCCACAGGCACCCGATTTGAATCCACAAGTTGTACTATGGGAGGAGGGACAATCCTCTCCCATGTGATTTACTGTCTCTGAAAACTCACTGGAAGGTCAGTTGTGGTTTAGTTCCAACTCATTGTACACTACAACTTTTCAGTTAGCAGCCAATACTTAATCCACAGTGTATCTTTTTTTAACTGAGATTTTAATGAAAGTTTATAAAGAAATTGTGTTTCTAATCGTTTGTTGTTGCACATTTCTTCCCTGTCCACCCCTCCCCCCCCAGATCAGATTTTCTTTGGAGAAAAAAGTTCTTTCATTGTTATACAGGCACCCCCGCCCTAACCATTTTACTATGCAGTTCTTATTCTGGGCTCTTCTCATGCCAACAAAACCTATTATATATTCCTTTTATACAGTTCTCTCCCTCATGTTTCAATGCCATGTAGATTATTTATCCCCTCATCTCAGTTTCCCCCAGCCGCCATGTCAGTGGCATTATGCCGTTCTTTTTGGTTGTTTTTTTTTTTATTGTTGTTGTTTTTACTGAGATATTTCACTCAGTATAATGTCCTCTAGGGTTATCCATTTTGTATAATAATTCATGAGTTCCTGTTTTTCAATGCAGCATAGTATTCCAGTGTACACAGTGTATCTTTTAAGAGGATGCTTAATGCCAGTATCAGCTTAAGTATCATTTTCTGCAAAATATTTTCCTTTCTTCTTAAAATGAGTCTTTAGTTTTGAGAAATGTAGGATGGCAAAGGGTCCTTTTCTTTTGTATCATATTTATTCCCTACTATGTTCTGTACTTCTTACATACCATGTTCCAGTTATTAATGGGTATCTGCAGCTGTTTCTCCTCATTTTAAGTCTTGTCACTTCAGCACACTAAGGTCCTTCACTAGGTGAAAGCTGCATTAGATTTTGCTTTGAAGAGGCTGCTCTTACCCAGTTGCATTATTAGTGCCTCCCAACCTGAGGAGCTCGTCTTCTCGCATTATATCCGGCAATGTTTTTCCATTGTCAGCTGAAACCTAACCAGCCTGAGTAACACTGCTGGTATTTAAAATACCAGTGGCATCACAACAAATATCACAGCAAGCCACTACAGTATGGCAAACAGACAAGTGGTGCATCCGAAAGCTGGGCATTGTGTAAAGAAGACTGAAGAAGAAGTGATACCTTTGAATTATGGTGTTGGCAAAGAGTATTGAATATGCCATGAACTGCCAGAAGAACAAACTATTCTCTCATAAAGGATGGTAAAACTTCATCTCACTTTGGGTATATTCTCAGAAGAAACCAATCCTTGGAGACTGAGAAAGGTCAGAGAAAGAGATGAAGGCCTTCAACAAGATGGATTAATGCAGTGACTACCACAATAGACTTAAGCAGGACAAAGGTTGTGAGGATGATGTAGGATTGTGCACAGTTCAGATCTACTGTTTATAGGGTCCCTGTGAGTCAGTAACAACAGTCTCATATTTGTTTAGGCATTTCTCTACTGTTAAGTTGTAGCTTCAGAAGAGAAAAAAATGTTCTCTTTCTTATTCTCCTTTGACTTTTTTTTCCCCAATA